GGTAGGAAACCTGGAACGATGCTTCAACTAGCTATCCAATAGGACTTCTGTCATTCCATCGGAGTGTAGCACGACTTTCAATATGTTTGGACTGCAGCCCTTATAGTATGGAGATGAAAGAATTCTCGATCGTGCTTTAGCGATAAGGTGATCCAGAGAGATTGCTTCGCGGATTTAGTACCACTGGTATCGGTCATGTTTTTCGCGGTTCGTACTCAGGAGAGCCCAGTAGTTCAGGAACACCATGAACAAATACGGCTTATTTTTTACTTTCGTTGTTAGAAGGGCCGCCGTGGTTTTGCTTTTTCTTTGACTGCCCTTTCCAAGGAATTTCGGGTAGTATGCGCATCCCGCTGGATGAGTTGCGAAGATGAACTGCTGAGAGTAGGACTATCTCTGTCTCCTCAGTAGAATGCGAAGTTACTCGAAGTTATCGGGGTTCGCCGTAGTGCACTGCATTTGGGGGACTCGGTACACGTCGTAGCCCAGTTGGGTCCATTGGAACACCAATCGCATCATCGATGGAATGCCACTGGTTGCGATCATCTATCAACTTGCCCTTTATTGAGCTAGAACTGTACTCAGGAACGTTAGTGCCTAAGACCTTTAACGCACTGTAGTTCCGTTTAGCGAATGTTGGTTAGAGTTCTGTGGCTGTTAGGTTGGATTGTTTGGCAGGTACTAAAGAACGTTGTGAAAATGACGTCGCGTCGCTCATGCTTGGTCCATAGAATGGATGTACGGCTTTGTCGTTAGGCGTTTTTATCGAGGCGATCCATGCGAATGTTACTCGGCTCTGGACTGTCGGTGTCGGTGTTGTGACCAACTCTTTGGTTATAGCGTCTAGGTATGAGTGAATAGCAGTCACGCTGGATGTGTCTTGCCTAACTAAAGAGTTAACAATCCTCGTAATAATTGGCGCAGACGCCGTCGGGTGGTTATCAAGCCTGACTTTAGCCTTCAACTTAGGGACGAAGCTCTGAGGGTTTTGCTGTAGAGCACGATCAGTGTTGTTAGATTCTAATGACAAAACCCTGAAGCACGCCATCTGCTGGACTGTTGCAGTCCGTTTTTCACATTTTTCCACGAGCGATATTATACATTTGACTATTGGGATTGCTCTCCATGTTTGGCAAAACTAGAGCAAATCAGTCATGTAGAATTGCCTCTTGTATGGTAGTTGGTTTATACCAGCACAAAGAGGGTGGAACGGTAGGTCGCAAAATTCACAAATAAAGTGTCGTTTGACTATGCGTCTTGACTTCTACTTGCCACGTTTGCGGTTAGGTGGAATCAATTCCATTTAAGTCTGTTGTTGCAAAGGAAAGCTGTCCTTGTCTGGTCACGTGCGGTAGAGGGCGAGTGACACTCGCATTCCTTGTCCCAGTCCCACTCTCGACGCCGGTTACCGTAGGTGAGTGCGCACAACGAGGACACACGTGCACGGGGTTTTGGCCAGCTCATTGATCTACACTAGTTCCTGTAGGACAAAGTCGTTGGAAGTGGGTTGTGGTGGGTGGCTGACAGCAGAAAGTGCCGGCGATGGGCGAATGTAATTGAAATCACAGATTGTGTCGGAGCTTCGCTAGAAATGATCCTATGGATGTAATTCTAGAACCATCAGATAGCGCGGAGAATGCTTGATCGATCACAGTATCGTAGCAGTGAAACCCGTTGAAAACAACAAAGTGGAGCGCATGGATAGAAGGACTAAGCGCGCTAAAACAACTTGTGTAGCACAAATCACTTTCCGCAGGAAATAATTCAGTAAGATTATGCCCGCTGAACACGGGGAGTTAATCTGATTCGAATGACTGTATGGTGACTGCGCTAGGTGAAAAGGAAGAGGTGAAACTCTGTGACAGAGGACAGCACGTTTACTATGCGACCAGTCAGGACTGTGGCTCAAAACTTGAGAAGACGATGGTAAGACCGCTGGTGAATTTGGTAATATATTTCCATTCAAGCATCCGAGTATTCTTAAAGATTGGAAAAGCAGTGCAACAGCTAACCTGACCATACCTCCTCAACATTGTAACAAGCATAAGAATAGAGGCAAGGGGAAAATGAAACACTAGTGGAACGAACCAATTAGAAAAATATTGCCTTAGTTTGGGAGACTGGTGGACCATGACACTGATAAGTCAGGTGACGAGGCATACTGCAGGGGTCAAGGGCAAATGTCGGACGCTCTGATATATCACGGTAAGATAAGTGTAAACCGTTTGAAGTGATTGACGCCCTGATGAAACATTCGGTTACCACATAACCAACTCGCAATTAAATGGGCATTTAAGATGGGACAGAAAAAACTTTCGATTTTCGGCACTGTGGTTGTGCGTCTATTTGCAAAATTTTAGCTTCTAATAGTGTAACGAGAACCAAATGTAAAGTTAGTACCACAGTCTGTTTCACATGCAATCCACAGCATACCCCGGAGATAAGAATTATTCAGCTACCTGCTAGGTTCAACATAATGCGATTTTGTCTACAAGCTAACCACGTGTGGATAATTCGTATGCTTGATACTAATATATTATCATTTGCCATCAACAAATACATATAAAAGTAAGGGACTATACGAAGTGTCATTCGGATTTTAGATAGCCCAAATCCAAACCCAATACGGTCTGAGGATGGTTGCGTATGGGTGTAGAAACAAAATATGATGATATATTGAAAGAAGCGAAACCGAGTAACATCGGAGAGACTTTTACCTTTACATGGAAGTCAATGACGGAAGGTAAACTGAGTCCTCGTTTTCATTCCTTGGCTCCAGATTATATCCTCTGATTAACTGGCCGTACTTACCTCCAGGCTTTCATGTTCACCTAGAAGCCTATGAAGAAAGGCCAATCGGGTAGTCGTCTTCGTTTAGCCGACGACTGTTACACTGTTTATTTCCAACCATTTTGCAGCTCGCTCCGTCTGATGCTTACCATTGTTGTTTCTGTTATGGATACGCATACAGTCAAAACAGAAAACCATCAAACATGAATGTACTAGATACTTAGATTCGCGACTCCTTATACCAGATTTTGAGTGCCGCCTCCACTACAGATCCCGAAATATTAGCAAGCCCATTGACGATTTGTGAACACAGAGCCCTGCCCAATTCGTACATGTTATGAGTAGTTAACAGACATTTCGTCCGTATCTAGCTTTACTCATTGTACGCTGCTGAACACATCATTATAGACTTGTACCATATTTTCATAGCTACGACACACGATCTGTTAAAACGACAACACCGTAGCGGTACTGTTCACTTTATGTCGATTAACCAGTTCACCGTCAAAAGTTGCCAGCAGTCTTTTGCCCTGAGAACTGCGTAATTACTGCGGAAAAAGCTTCAAATAGGCTTGGTAGATTGGCATCTTGCTTTCCTAAAAATAATAATGGTGCACAGATTTCTTCTACCTGAAGCAAAACGGCGATCCTTCTAGTTCAAATCGCTCCGCCTGCAGCGCCTTGCTCAACATTCAGCTAACTCCGACTCCGCTACAATGACAGACTAGACCACAAGTATACGCCAACATGTCACTGACATACAAAACAGCCACTTTACAAGATCTTTACAAACTATCAACCAACACGCGATTGATCGAGTGCGTTTCGTGAGAGTGACAATGTCAACTGACACATGACTAGACAAAGGGAGATCCACGAAATTTGTATAGTTACTAAAATAATTAACCATTTTGCTGTCAAGTTGTTCGAGTTGATCGTACCAACAACCTTGGATGTCTCACAAGATCGAAAATAAGCTAGTTAGTTATTATTTATTTACTTCGATGGTACAGCTAAATGAGGCGGAGATTCACCAATCGATGTGCATTATTATCAGCGTAGCCCTTCTAAGTATCAAGGGACTGCCTAATGCTTAAGGCCTCAAGTCGGACCGTCTGGTGTATATGAGACACTCGCTCGCGACATTGTGCATCTAAGCAGCTTCTTTCAGAACACCCAAGACAATCGGAAGGTGGTTGGAAGCGTTGATTGTAGCTACCTTCTAATCACTTAGGAGCGACGCAGATGTGAGCAACATGATGCACTCAGCTAGTCTTCTTTCATCATCAGTAAAACAAATGGAATGCCTTAGTTAAGGTCAGTTTATATTTGCAGATGTAATCCTTTGGAGATTCCGACACTAGAAGTAAGTGGAGATCACCACTCGAGTGAATTCACTCAGTCGCACCACTTGGTGAAGTCTATGTAGTGTTACTCGGAATAGGAAGCAGTAAAACGATCGTTTTGCTGCGCGATATCTAACACTTCTAGTGCGTGACAGAAAGTAAACCGCCAACAGCTACGAGCGTCGTCTAGTCGTCAGTGAATGTCGTCACAGCGGACACAATGGTCACCGCCGGGTACGCGCTTTGGAAATTTAACTGCTCTACAACAGCCAACCAAGTAGATTTATCAGCTATTAAATAAAAAACCTAATTGTATCTTTACGATATCGTAATGGTGGGACATTTAATGACGGTCACGTTAGCAAACTTATACACGCACCTGGGGAATAGAGCACCGAAGCTTTTGAGCCTGACTGTGACGGGCTTCGCAATAAATGGAATACTTTCATACTATTCGGCGCAGTGTGCTAGGCCATTATGATGCCCAATCGGCCCAGGCTCTAAGATAGTTTAACAGAAAATCGATCCGGTCCTTTTCACGATACTAATGCCTATGAGATTAGAAGACAGGCTACGTTACAGCTTAATCATATATTTGCTCATAAAAGCTAATGGCGATCGCTGTGTACAGGATATCACAGCCCCAGTCTTATGTGGAAAACAGACTTCGACCTTTCGCCCATTCATTGGAGTATACGACTCTGAAGAGTCAAGAAGGGATACAAGGACTATTGAAAAAGGTACTGGGTTTAGACAATTAACCTTTCAGTCTACACGCATCAACTAAACGCAGACACAGTCAGTGAACAATGAACAATAATTTAGCACGGGATAAAAGCGTGCGTAATAAGATGAGAAACTCACTTCGGGACAGGTACACGACATTTTACTGGCAACGATGCTGGCGGACTGTTTATTCTCCATAAAACAACGGAAAGAATTGTTAACTCCCGGTGTGACTTCTTTCCGAAACTGCGCCGTGGTGGGTAGCGATAGATGAAAGTTGATCACTCTCGGCCATTGTAAGTTGCAGAAAACGGAATCCCCGAACCCGCTGATATTGGTACTTTGTAGCACCAATATGCCCAAAAGCGGCACACTGTCAAATGCCTTTGGTGGTATAAATCCGATCGGATTACCTGACAAATCAAGTATCCGAACCTTGGGAATGCCCGGAAAAGCTGGCACTCCTGGGCTAAAGTGAAACCCATTGTAAGTGAATTGCAGTATTTCCACATTTGGTAAGTGAGGCGTCTGATGGCAATCACTGAACATTTGTCGCAATTTCATGACACGTACACTGTCCACGTCTACGAAACGATCCAGTGAACAATTCGGTGATTTTGTGGTCCCATACAAACTGAGACTGGTGAATTGGGTGGAGAACACTTTCGTTGTATTGGAGTCTATCTGTAGCTCAATTAGTTTGATATGATGGTAACAGTTGAAAATCCTGGTGTCCTCAAGCTGGAAGCTTAGAGTCATCCGAAGAATCTGTTGGTAAAGGGAGATATACGTAAACCCCATCAAAGTGCTTTACTGGTGTGAGGGCTTGTGGCAGGCTGTCGCCGCCCTTCATTACCTCAAACGCTATGAAACATGGGAGCAAGTATCCCCTTGTACCGTATCTTTGACTTGCACGGATTATCTGTCTTCTACCCCGTTGCTTGCGGTCTACTGCCCATGTGTGGTGGTTGCACCATCTGACCAATGTGGAAGCTAGCGTGTCTGGAGTGGAAGTACCCACATGTTCGAGGAGTTTATCTTGCTGCGCCGATTGCGGTGGTTTGTACGCATATTGCTTATGTCCGCTCAGCGCCTTCCATATCTTGCATTGTTCTCGGCTGCTGGGCAGGGCTGGAGGGGTGCGCGGTAGGCAGCCTACGACTTGGAGAAGCAACATGAGAACGCTGAAGAAGCAGTTGGCCTCGGTCGGTCGATCTTGACTCCTTGGTTGGAGTCCCAGCGATACGGAGCTTTACTCGGTGGCGACACTGGAAGTTACGGCTCAAGACCGACGTCATTGGCAGACTTGTATCTCTGCGTGCTGCGGTGATCCCTTTCCCTCCCCTAATAAAAAACCTAACAAAAGCTCAGAAACGGTGAAAAACTAAGCAAAAAATGATGCCTGCTTTTTCTTCCTATTCTTATCCTGTTCCTCATTCTGTCATAATTTCTGTGGCCTACTAACTGCACCAGGGATTGTGATCAGTGTATGCTGTATATACCTTTTTTAACTTCGCTAGTGACAAAGCAATGGGTGTGAAACTGCTTCCTGGCTTGGAGTTTACGTGTATATTGCCACATTCTAAGACAACTCAGAAAAAGCACCAAACAACAATGGACAGATTAGTACTGGCTGTGAGCCGTTTGGGGCTAAGCTATGTTTGCTCCAATCTAGATGGGGACCTTTCGCCGCACTGACAGTTGGAGGGGGGATCAACTCGAGTTTGTTCAGAAATTCAACGACCTGCGCAGCTGTATCAGCGCCTATGGAATTTAAGATTAAATAACACACCGTATAGTCAATACTTGAGGCGCTTGCTAAACTTCAACACCTATGGCGCCCGGGCGACACCTTTCTCGCCCTGAAGGGTACGGTTGTGAAAATTGAACTATCATATCATTAGACGTAAATACCCTAGTGTCATCCGACTACTGGCATCTTCGCAGTTTTGCTCACATCTGGTGGGAACACCTCGTGAGCAATGGGAGAGTTTGGCGGCGTGTATTCGGTTCAGGTAGAGTGACTGCGTCGATCAATCTAAGTTAGGTCTCACGTTCACGTTGAAGATGGAACGTCCAAACTTCTCGTACGCTATCCGCAAGAGATCAGCGTATTGGCTGCTGTTTTTGGGCACCTTTATGGATCGCTTCGATCAGCCAACGTTATACTGAATCACTAGCACGTGGTCACGCTACCAAGAGACGGTGTGTGTATAAATAAATAAATGAACAAATTTGCAATTTGGAGAATGACGTATATGAGCCACTTTGTACTTGTTCGTGCTGAACTGAAGTAGCCTCAACTTTCATAATTCAGATGGGTGGTCCAGGTATTGTTGCAGCAAATCATGCAGACTTGATTACCGGTCGTCCGCCATATCTTTATGGATAGACCAGAAGCAAGAAACATGAGGTGATTAGATATATGAGGTCGTTACTGAAAAGCAGATATAAGCTCAAATTTAGTGCTCAATCCTGTGAAACACCACATACAACCTCAAAGGGACAGGATAATTAGCCCAATGTTCGCATTCAAAGCCTATATATATATATATATATATATATATATATATATATATATATATATATATATATATATATAGTGTCCCATGCTAAGGCTGATGTTGCATTCATGATGCTTCTTCACCGTAGCTGGGCTGAACCAACTTACACTTAAACTAGGTCCTTTTAATGTGGATAAAATTCATTACGTTTTATTTGGTTTGTTCTACGTACTTGAAAATTTTCCCCCAACTAGCACACATCGCTCATGCAAAGTGTGGTAAACTTGCGTAATTGTATCGAGTGGTATTTTTTAAATAACTCGAACCTTTTGTACTTATCACGGATTCACTTATAATCAATTTCTTCTATATGCTCATTTAGCGAGCATGTATGTCGTCAAATGTGTTTACTTCATTCGATATCGGCGTTTTGAGTGATTGGCTGTTGTTTAACATCCCAGGTGTGGTTGCGCTCAATGTGCTTGTTGACAAGGTGCCTACCTGTCTATTATCCACTACCTCCTCCATATTGTCTGTAGGAGACAGTTAGTCAATGCTGGAGGGGATAGGGTGCACCGTCCTTGTGGTCGTGCCAGGCTCGAAGAGTGGTTCCATACACTCAGTGTGGAGCTGACTGCCGTCCAGCCACCGCCTTGTGGGCGCTTGATTCAACAAGTACAGCGTGCTTGTGTTTGCCTGTGAAGGAATGTGGACCAGCTTCGTTGATGGAACGTGGCTCCCATCCACATGTCTCCAGGTCTTATTCCTTCGGGCTTACACTGGATATGGGGTGTGTGGTTGGAGCTGTGGGTGGTGCAGCCTGAGCCACCCATGGTCCCTCTGTGGGCGCAGGCGTCCTGTGACTGGCCACAGCGACAGGCAAATTCGAAACCGGATGCCGCCAATCATATATATATATATATATACATATATATATACATATATATATGGTGACACTGTCAATATTAATATAATCGGCAGAGCGCCGGTCTCCAACAACGCAGATTTGATCGTTTACACTGGAGATCAACTTGTGGCCTCAATCATTATGTCTCCCGTCCAGATGGCTACCGAGCACAAAAATGAAGCTACTTCGGACGTCCTATCTAAAGCTACGCTGATCGACGCCGAATTGCTGGTTCAAAGGTCCCTTCGAGTAAAGCGAAAGTGAGCCAGGAAAACCCGTAAGCTCTCTGCAAATCAAGAAGTTATAGCTGTCTCGGCATCGGAAACAAGCCAAGTGTCGTTACTTCTTAGACCATCTGACGGTTGTACGCAGGCGAAGATTCCAACACGCACTACTTGTCAGCCGAAGTTGCCAGATATCTTGGTTCTCACCGAGAAGGCATGTTCTGAAGGTTTGCTTGACTCTGCTCAAAGCGAAAACTCGTCACGGGACACTGCTGCCGTTATCAAAAAGAAAAAGCAGACCAAATCTGCCATAAAGCCTTTCGGTGGAATCGATGACCCGAAAAAAAGTACGACATCGACAATGGAGCGAAAAACATACGCTGCCGTTGTTACATCATCGGAGGGGCTAAAGACAGTCCCATCACCAGTGGTGAAGTCACCTGCTTCAAGTATCGAATCAAAGACCCGTGGGATTAATACACCCCGTCGTGGCGATTCTTTCACGGATAGTAGCGTTATATTCCGTAACGTGGCTGAATCTACTGCTGTCCTTTCTGCTGCTCGCATGTTGGACGACATTCATTGGTTTAAAAGGTGCGTAACGAAGCATCTCCCCGCGTGGTTACTGTCAGGAAGCTGATTAGACTGGGGAACGTCCCAGTTAATGTACCAAACCTTCGACCGCGGCTACTTCGCGTGGTACTCTCTACTCCGGAGGAACGCAGCGCTCTCATGCGGTCCGCATTTAAGCTGAAAGGTACAAATATTAGTGTTCAGCCGGACCTTCCGCTGGCCGATAGACTGAAGCTAAGGGAGGCCATCAAAGACCTCAAAAGCAGGCGAGCGGCCGGTGAACAAAGTCTCCGGTTAGTGGGTTTTCGGGTGGTCAACCTGCGGCCCTTTTCCGACCTACCACTGCCAATTCTGGTAGCGCACGACCCAGGTCTGGATCTAACGAATATCTTCAGATAGTGCTAATTAATGTGCGCAGCCTATGGAATAAGGTGTACGAGTTACGTCTGCTTGTAGATTGGTCTCATCCCGATATACTCGCATTCACTGAAACGTGGCTGTCTCAGGACATCACGGATGGTCAAGTACATCTATCTGGCTACGCACTATTTAGATGCGATCGTTCCGCTGGCCGGCAGGGAGGAGGCGTCACTCTTTATGTGAACTGTAAACTTGACGTTTTGAAGACTTGCTTATTTCAGTCAGCAGACAAAACTGTTGAAGCTCTGTCGGCTGTTATTAGCACATTCTCGGCTCAGGTTACAGTTGTAATTGTGTATAAAAGCCCTGGGAGCTTATCCAAAGGGGCACTTGACTTCATTTGCACCCGGTTCGCAAACAAGTGTTTGGTGATGGGCGACTTCAACCTCCCAGAGATTTGCTGGGCAGATCTTTCTTGCGACTCAGCGTCAGGCACATTCGACGCTGATCTGCTTGAGCTTACGCTCCAACTATCTTTGCATCAGTTCATTGACCTCCCCACTAGGTATATGGACGCCCAAGTACCATCTACCTTAGAGCTTGTATTTGCCAAATCACTCGATTTTGTTAGTGACATTACTTACGGACCTGCACTGGGTTCCAGTGACCATGTTTGTTTGCCCTTCAGTTGTACTCTGTCTAGACGCTACCAGAGTACTGTTAAGTCTCGCCCGAACATATAGCACGCAGACTATCAATCAATGAGAGCCAAGGCTTCGGGTTTCCATTGTGAGATCTCAGAAGATGACACTGTCCAAGTTGCCTGGGATAAATTTAAGTATATCTTACCATGGTCTCTGCTCCCTTCATTCCAGTCACAAGGAGAAAGGAGGCAAGAGCACAGCCGCCCTGCATAGATTCCACTGGCAGGCATCTGCTCACAAAGAGGTCTAGATGTTGGCGGACTTACGAGTGTCTCCGTCCACCGATACTTATGACAAGTACCGTAAGGCTAGGAATAGGTGTAAGCAAAACCTAAGGGATGCCCGGCTCAATTTCGAGAAAGGGTTAGCAGACGAAACTTCAGAGAACCCAAAAAGGTTCTTCGCATATGTCAAAAGACATGTCAATTCCGGTATTGATGCGTGATGACGGTACTCATGCACATACGGACTATGACAATGCCTGCGTACTTAGTGGGCAATATGCGGCAGCGTTTGTAAGGGAAACCTCTTTGATAGGCGTTGAGCTGGTTTGCAGGACCCCAGAGGGTTCAGAACTATCTGAATTTATTGTAGCGGAGACTGCAGTTCGTAGGCTGTTACAAGGGCTGAATCCCTCTAAAGCCTCTGGACCTGATTTAATTCACCCGAAACTGTTGCATGAGTTGGCTGCGGAACTAAGTGGACCGCTCGCTATTGTGTTTCAGTAATCGCTTGGCAGTTGTGTATTGCCTTCCGAATGGAAGGAAGCTGTCATCTGTCCCATCTTTAAACATGGGGACAGGAGTCTGCCTGCAAATTACAGGCCAGTTAGTCTGACGAGTGTAGTAGTCAAACTCCTCGAGAAACTGGTGAGCGATTCATTGAAAAGTCATCTGAGTAGATTTAATCCACTTAGCAATATACAACACGGATTCCGGAAGGGATTTTCGTGTCTGACGAATCTACTGGTGGCTTGTGAAAGTCGGGCGGGTGCAGTGGATAACGGCCACCCACTGGACGTATTTTTCGTCGACTTTTCGAAGGCATTTGACAAGGTGCCCCATTTGAGGCTGGCACAAAAGCTGACCTCCTACGGGGTATCTGGCCGCGCCCTTCATTGGGTGACTGCCTTCTTGGGGGGTAGAGAACAGTCTGTCCTCAGTGGCTTGCCGCAGGGCTCGGTCCTTGGACGGCTGCTGTTCTCTATCTATGTGAATGACTTAGCCACAGAGCTTGAGGTACCATCGCTGCGGATCTGATGAGGATCTGAAGTTGTGGAACATTATCGATGTTCCTGGGGGTTCCGAAGCTATTCAGCGAGCATTGGATAAACTTTGGGACAGGTCTACTCTATGGTTAATGTCCATAAATCAGGCAAAGTGCTCCGTTCTTCGAATTGGAGGTGGTTGTCCTACGAAATACTTGGTCGGTGGGGTCGAACTGCTCATATATCTAGACAGGTTGACCTAGGCGTCGTAAACTCTTCGGCTTTACACGCCGGCGAAACTGGAAGAAGGCCGCAAGCAGAGGTTCCCGAAAGTTTTGGTTAATACGATGTTCTTCCGGAGTCTTGACGGGCTGCATCTTTGCGAGACTGTTCTCGGCTTTCGTTCGGCCTCATCTGGAATACTGCGTCCAGGCTTGTCCGCCCTGCCTCGTCAGGAACAAAATGGAGCTAGAGAGGGTTTTACGAGTGGGTACTAGGTTAGTCGAAGGATTACGGGGACGGACGTACCCCGAGCGTCTACCTAGTTTGGGAATGCATTCAATGCACTACCGAAGGCTTAGAGGAGACCTAATCCTAACCTACCGTATCTTAACTGGGAAGGTTGGTCCAGATTTATCTGAGCTATTCAGTCCCGCTAGATTGTCTGTTCTATGCGGTCACTTTTTGAAGCTGGACAAACCGCGGTCCGATCGGATTAGGGCAGAAATCCGGCTGTCACGCAGAGTCATCGAGCGCTGGAACATGCTTCCGGAAAGTGTTATCAGGGAATCTACGGTTAAGGGGTTTGAGCGGCAACTTGACGCTTTTGGGTGGCAACACGAAACCTTTCCATTTTCCTGAGTAACTCGCATATTCGTACTTCGATTTTCTTTTCTCTACTTTTCTTCACGCATTGGTATTATTTTCTTATTTAAGTGCACTTCCTTATTCTGTACCTTCGATTTCTCTTCCTATCCTTTGCTTACTTCACGTGACTGCCACAGCAGGGACGGCTGGGGCAGGAAACGGGGGCATTAACTGGTTGGCCAGAGTGCAATACGGTGTAGCGTTTTAGAACCATCAATAACTGAGCACTTCATCAATTCCTGGCTCAACGATCTATTCAAGATGGAACACTCACGGATTCTCCTATCGTTCCAGTCCCATCTGAACTTGAACTTGAACTAAGATTAAATATGTGGACGAACGAGGTAGAGACAAAACACGAAAACTTTACAAATGGGTATAGGGTCCTAAAGTAAGTCTAACTGAGTGAGAAATCGTGCGAAGTTAAAAGGAACTTTCCAACCAGGTGTGTTTGTGGCCTTGCTCCCCCACCCCGGAGGTCGACAGTGTCCAAACAGGGCCATCTTTGATGTCATCGTTTTTATAGTTTGGGTCCAAGTCATTCGTTCCCCCTTAGCTTTGCTTCAAACCGACTTCAGCGAGTACAAAGAGGTCCCGGCGAGGCAAACGCAGTGATATCATAAGAAACACATGCTCAGTCCACGGAAGCCTGTACAGTGAATTGATGCAGCTCAGCGATCGGTAGCGTTTGTCTGACTTGAAAATATTTCGACTAATTTCGTCATTACTAATTAGATGCTGTTATCTTTCACCAGTACTGTTTCGGAGGCAACATCTGAAAACAGTCTGCGCAAATTCACCAAGCATTGCAATCATAAAGTAGAACCGATGTCACCATGCTTTCGTAGACTCGGTACTTCATAGAGATGCTGACGTCCTTTCAACATCAGCGATGGCGGAGATTAGCAAAAGCAATCCAAACGTTAACGATGCGCAACGATATCTCACCTGTTAATCCACTGGTGCTTATTCAGCTATTGACGTGAATGAACTTCACCACCACTTTCAAAGGATGGCCCGAAAAGGTAAGAGTAGAAGCAACTACTAGCCAGTCCTGAAGACCATGACTGCTCCCTCTTACATGAAGACCTTACACTTTGATAGGTCTAAGATCATTCCGAACTGAAAGACAAACACTTCCAGTTTCCGCGGTGCATTCTGGGCGGCCTGCGAGAAGTTGAACATTACAACTGTCATCCGCATACTCCAACTCACGAAGTTGATCCCCGGGAAGTACCTGAAGATCACTTGGTACACCAAGTTCCCTATACTGGTCTTCAGTAACGTTACTTAATGAAGATTTCTCGAAACCGGAACACACACAATAAAACTCACCTCAATTCGCGGCGGGAACAGGGTACATAGATCGGAGGCGGAGAGCATTGTTCTGGTCTCAAATATGTGTGCAGTCCTCAGGGTTCCGTAGTCAGCCAGTTTTTTCAAAGCTGCTGTCAGACAAACCTCATTCACCTGACTGATGAACAAGTGCTCCAACTTTGTGAGTGTTCCAATCAGCTCACAAGCTCCCTTTATGGTTGAAAATCCAATTTGGCTTAGCTCCAGAATGCGCAGGTTTTTAAAATTGTCAATATCTGTGAGTACCACGTCCGTGTATTCGAGTCTGGCAACGCGTAAGATTTCAAGTTCTTTGCTGCCCATAGAAGAGACAGAAAGAGCCTCTCGGCCTCTAACTGTTATCAGATTTAGGACTCGAAGTTTCGGAAAGTTCCATACCAAACGACCCCAGGCGAGATTGTTTGTGTCAATCACTGAGAAGGAGCGAAGATTTGGTGCCGTTATATTGATCACGGTTGCCCGACCCTTCACTACGTAAACTTCCAGTGTTTCGGAATTCATGTCAGCTTCCGGATTTACATTATACGTAGATTCCGTGGCCACACTCAATACTCTATAATTGGGATCAATAGTGCTAGGTAGGTAGGAATAAGCTGGGTAGTATTTGACGCCTTGTGGACCTTTCGGCCTTTGACAATGTTCAGAAAATTCGTAGTAAAAGTCGGGTGCATATTTGGCACCAGGAAGATAAGCTCCTACCGCTAAGCGAAGCTGTAAGCAAATGAGCGCTAGAGCACTTCCAAAGTTCGAATTCAGAAACAAGCTTGGTCTCTTCATTGGGTGAAAGGATACTTAGAATATCACCACCATTGTTGGCAGACAACGAAAACCTGCGCAAGCGGGCGCAGAAAGGTTGAGTCACGTTGGCCGGACACTTTAAATAGAGAGTAATAATCGATACATCATACAAGGTCAGTCGTGATTCTCCTCGTGATGCTAACTGAGAATACTGAAGAAGAGGGGGAAGATGGTGCTCAGTAATCGTTAGCAGAGAGCTACCAAGTTTCCCCTTTCTTATTGTGCACAGCCATGAAACACGCGTTGATGGGAATGATTAGCGATCTCCAGCTGCGCTAAATGAAACACAACTATAGTTCAATTAGCGAAGTGTCACCTGGTTAAGCTAGGGCCAAGCAAGATTAGCACTTCAGGCGCTCAAACACGCTTTCCGCGCTTGGTTGGAAGGGATTGCCTCTCGTCTCAGTTTACTGGTGCTTCGGTATGTTCTCGACTGACGGACGGTTGCAATTTGAGAACATTGCTGCTGCATGTTGTGATCTGGATATTGCTGCCAGCGTAATGAGGCTAGACCTTACTGTGGTGCGATGGTTTGGTGTCTCAGCAATGCAATGTGCTATGCTGCGTGGTACTTTTTTGAAACTTCAGAACCATTCATATCAGATGATCAATAGTTAGAAGCCCGACAAAATAATCAGTCTCCTGGACCTCTAGGTTGGGGGTTAGAGTGAGGGTAGTTCCTTATTACTTAAAAAGGCTCCTTGTAGTCCACTGCCAAACCTGTTATCATGCGGTCAGGTTTTAGCACCGGAGGCTTTCGTTGAGAACCCTACTCGTAAAGTGGGCAACCTGTCAGTATCCTTCGTACGCGATATTGAACATATAGATAATATTTCTGGACTGTGACCAGATGCTGTGCCGACGAGGGGTCAGGTCAATATGTACACAAATCACACGCTGTTGCATGGATAATGAAAACAAATAACTAACCAAATTATTTATTCCCGACAGAAGGAGACACGCCGGTATAGGCATGAACAAATAGAAGCCACAGGTAGAGTTGCAACGTACAGGTGACTGAAAGTATTTGACCTGAAACATTTTCCGCAGTTTGTATATAAAGGTTAGTTCCCGGATGACTCTGAGAATATAGTGCAAAAGCGATTGTATGTAGACCTACCAATGAGTATCAGATTAGTTGTTTGCATTCAGAAATATATCAAGCAAAACTTCATCAACGATGTGTCACGACATGACAGCTGGGAAAATTGCTGAGGTGTACGAAGTTGGATAATTGTTCAATATATTGGAATATGTTTGGAACCGACTGTGATTTCATGATTTCAGAAGGTTTTGTATACAAATCGGTTTTGGTAGAGTTTTATTGTGGCAACGTTTCGCCCTTGATACAAGAGCTTCTTCAGGCCAGGTGAATTGGTACAAAATTGGCGTAGCTTTTTATGGGAAGGTTGCAAGACAAAAATCATGAACCATTGGATAATAGTGTTACAGGTCAATAGGTCAAGTGGCCACGTTAGTGAAATAACAAGAAGCGAGCGTTTCTCATTGATCCACGTCATCGGTCGTTCACATGTGAGGCATTTCTTTCTGGCAGCAGCTGATTCACACTCCGACCTGAGTTCGTCCGCCGACACCTTTTCTGACTGACCGGGTTAACGCAGCCCGCCACGCGTTCGATAACTCCAACCCGTCTGTTCTGTTCACACAGTTATTAGTCTTAGTAATCTCGGTCGCTTCAGCAATCAACCTTTGGTTTGTTGCTGGTAATCCCCTCCTAAGTATCTCGACATTGTCCCAATCAATCGCGTGTCCTGCCTCTAGCGCATATACGGCCACCGCTGAATGTTTTACTAGGGCCCTGTATTCAGGCTCATTTCTCGGTGGACGCGAAACCTACCTCTTGTGTTCTGCTATCCTCGTGCGTAGCGCTCTCGCTGTTTGACCTATATACACTTGTTCACAGTCTTGGCAATTGATTTTATAAATACAATTTGTTGTCCTGTCTTTTGGAAGTGGATCCTTCAAACGCACAAGTACTGAATAGAGCTTTGACCCTTTCGAAAAACCACTTATATTTTCTCCCTGTTTAGTACTGGTCTGATTGCTTCTGAGGTTCCCTTTTTATAGGGGATTCCCACCGTCCCAATCCACTCCGTTGTGCGTCGTGGAGGTGGATTTAGAGCTCTCTGTAATTGGCGTTTCACTAACCGCCTCGGATATCCACTGTCTACTAATTTGCTCACCGTCTCCTTACGAGCGGCCTTCTTGTCCTCCTCCTCCTCTGTACACAGAGTCTGGGCTCTGTGAAACAGCGAGGATGCGATAGCGCCATAGACTAGTTTTGGATAACCCGAACTGTAAGGGAGCACTCCGTCCGTATCAGTCGGCTTGCGATATATCGTCGTCTTTAGCCGTCCACCGTTCCTGTGGACTAGACAATCGAGGAATGGCAGTGTGCCACTGCAAGATTCCAGTTCCATAGTAAAGTTTATGTTACCATTAATGGAGTTCAGATGATTTAGAAACGCAACCTTCATATCTCGCTTTATAATCACAAACATATCATCTACGTAGCGCCACCAAATCTTTGGTGAACTAGTGGTGTTTGTCAGCGCCCTTCTCTCAAAGTCTTCCATATATAGATTTGCCAATACGGGGGATATTGGTGACCCCATGGCAAGTCCCTGTTCCTGAGAGTACAGTCTCGACTTGAAAGTGAAATACGACATCTTAAGGCATACTTTAATTCCATCGATTATCTGGTCTACCTTGAGTTTCGTTCGCTGCTCCAGGCTATTGTCCTCAGTAAGACAACGCTGTGCTATACTCAATGCGTCATTCTTGGGCACGTTAGTGAATAGGGAGCTAACGTCGAAACTAACCATTATTTCGTCTGGCGCGATGGCCATACCTGCTACCTTTCGCGCGAACTCATAGGAGTTCCGTACGAACGTATTTGTTCTCCCTGTTAGCGGTTGCAATAAACCTGCCAAATATCGGGCTAGTTCGTGTGTTGGAGAACTGGTACCATCTACAATAGGCCGAACAGAAACTTCGGCTTTATGTATTTTTGGCAGCCCATAGATCCTAGGTGGAATCGTTGATTTCGGGTATACGCTATACCATTTGCCCACCCCTAGGTTGTCCTTCACACTTCTCAGGTAGTTTCCTACCGCAGTTTTACAGTTATTCAATATGGACGACACGGATTTTTTCTCAATTGCTTCGTAAGGCCCTTCTGCTAAATGCTGTTCCATTTTTTCCTCATAATTCGATTTGTTCATTATCACTACGGTCTTGCCTTTATCGGTTTTCGTGATGATAATGGTGGGGTCTTCTCTTAAAGCCTTTAATGCGGTACGCTCAGCTATTGTAAGATTTGGCTCACCAGGCTTCTGAAATCTGATGATGTCTGCCATCTGTGCACGAATATCCTCAGCTGTTGATACTGGTAGTTTCGTCATTACGGTCTCAACGCTAGTAATAATTTCTTCTGCAGTTAGTTTAGGCTTATTTACAGCAAAGTTCAAACCCATTTTTAGTCATCTTCGTTCCGTCTCATTCAACAACCTATCTGACATATTAACTACATTGTAATAGTTACTGCTAGATTCAGATTTATCTACGAGACTAGTGGTCCTGCTATGCATAGACATCAAATGATTGAACTTACGAATTTGTCTTCCTTTCGCAGCTATCCCTTGTGTTGATTTCACTTCCGATGCCTTGTTGTAAAGTCTATCATATTCAGTTTGCGTTATTGCAGTCTGCAGCTCCCAGCTCAGCCGATTAGCATGAAGGCGGATTTCATTCAGGCGTCGGGTTGTCATATAAATCCGTTGCCTTAGGAAGGTTTTGCTTGCGTTGAAGGCTACTTTGGTAGATGTGTAAGATCTGTCCGGTGGTCTGACAACGAGGCTTTTAGGAATAATTCCACATTTGAGACATCTCAGGTTGAAGATACGATGATTTTCCCAATTCGCTTCCACACCAGCCAAACGCACAAATTCACTAGCCAATTTTCGAACACATGGTCCGTATAGTGATTCAATATATTGGAATATGTTTGGAACCGACTGTGATTTCATGATTTCAGAAGGTTTTGTATACAAATCGGTTTTGGTAGAGTTGTATTGTGGCAACGTTTCGCCCTTGATACAAGAGCTTCTTCAGGCCAGGTGAATTGGTACAAAATTGGCGTAGCTTTTTATGGGAAGGTTGCAAGACAAAAATCATGAACCATTGGATAATAGTGTTACAGGTCAATGGGTCAAGTGGCCACGTTAGTGAATATCCACGTTAGTGGATAATTGTTAATTCGCATGTCAACAGGCACGAAACGTGATAGTTTTATCGCGTAAAACTATTGGCTCGGTTGCTCAGATTGTGTCGTTCTCGAACGGTTTATCAGCTTGCGTATTCGCAGACACCTGTCACTCTATTTTCCTTTTGTTCGTCATGGGGCATTATCTGAAGCGGTCAGAAGTCGTGTTGTTGGTCGAAAAAGAAGGGGGCGCGTCTCAGAAGTAATGATAGAATTGGTGACTTTGCGTAAAACCATATTTTCTTTTGGCGAGTGGCCGAGAGTTCTGAATTCTGTGATGACCAGTGAGTGGTTCACGTGGTCAGAAGGTATAGCGGAATCAGGCGGATTGTGAGGATGATCAGAAAAAGAGTTAGATGTTGTGGATTCAGTTGAGTGCTTGAAAATAAGACTTGATTGCACAACAAGTAGTTATGGTTGTCGGTTAGAGTGTTGCTTTAGTAAGATCGGAATCGCGTTGAGCAGTTGGGAGATACTTTGGAGATCTGTTGTTACTGCCCAGGTTGAAATAAAACGGGGGTGCGTCAAGAGGGTAGGAAGTGTATTGATATGGCGAGATGAAACACGGATTGTTTTGAATGTTGTTGTAGATGTGTTTGGGCGTATAATTCTTGTACAAGCGGGCATCGCTAACAAATCTTCCACAGGTATTGCAAGACCGTACCACGGGTGGAATCGTACTAGAAATAAGGTCGAGTCCAGGAGTTCGGACCACGTAAAAGAGCAGGTTATTCACAAAATGAATCAGAATTCCTCCACAGCATCGTCAAGTTGTTTCCATAACCAACTGAAGACATCATGCATCTTTCTTCATACAATTTTTGGACGCTGGGGTTGCCGCAGAGAAAAATAAACGACGCCCGTCTGCTGCACCAAGCAGAGTGGATAGGGGTTCGGACGCCACTGCTCAAGCCTCCTCGTGTTCTGATTCCCCCTCTTGCACTCTTCCACACTTATCGTCCAGTTTCAAATGCACTTTTGTCCTTTCGTTTTGACCCCCCAATTCTTGGCTCTTCTCCACATACTTTACTAAACCTTTATCTTCTAGTTTCAACGCGCGTGCAAACGCCGAGCGTCACTTCTACCCTGTCGACAAACCCCTGACTAACCAAGCGGTCAAATCCAATTCATCAGCTTCTATTTGGAGTCCTCGATATCCCAGATTGGTAAGCCTAGACGTACGCACATTGTTACAGATCGCTCAATAGGCTTTACTTGCCCCACATTTGGAGATCCTCTTGATCCATATCTGCCGCCTATCGGAAACCCGTCTACATGACC